CGGCGGTATCGACTCCAGCGGACAACTGCATTATAAGCATATCTCGACAAGCTCATCCACCGTTTCAATAGCTGCTTTTGAAGGTAATTTGAATATACTTTGATTAGCGGCGTACGATGGAGAGCTTCCAAGTGTTGTCGTTTGTTGCATGCTGCTGTTGTTCTGATCTTGCGCTTTTTTCCTTGTTTGGGATTCTCGTCGGGCGACTTTTCTTCCTCGCTTGATTGTAAGAATATCTTGGGAAAGCCCGTGCTCGTCAGAGGTCGCTTCGTTGACGAAAATCATGAGTTTTGTAGTATGGGGAGAGTGGATGAGGTCGCGCAGAGTCGGTCACAATGGGCAACGACAATTTCTGAGACCATACCGCGACTTTTCCGTTCCAATAAGGTCTTAGGTTCGTAGGTTGGGAGTTGTTTATAGGTTGGGGAGCTGAGGACCTCCTTTTGCTTAAACCCTTTTTTAGTGGTGGGTGGTGGTTGCTTTGGCGGTGGTGGTGTTAGCATTGATTGAGGAGAGAGCTTATGATTTTCAAATAAGCAAAATATTGCAATGGTTAAAGAATTTGGGGAATAATGTCTTTAAATATGTTTATGGTTGCCGGTGCTTGAATGGTGGAGCCTGTGCTTGCATTGAATGAAGCTATTGTCTACGAAAACGGTTCTGAAGCTTTGACTACGAGCATACAACTCTCTCGGCAATACCCGACGAGTGAGGAATGATTACACATAGACCGGTTGCTTAGTAAAGGTTGCATCGCATTGAACAGCTACACGTATTAGCATTAGACCACTCGCTTTTGTCAGAGAATAGAGTCGCTTCTGAAATATTTTGCCATTCTTCTTCCATAAATTGCTTTAACTTCTCACAATTTTTTGGTGTCTTCTCTCAACATTATATTTAACGATACACAAAAGATTTTCTATTGAATTTAAATAGATGGCCAATCCACGTATTTTTCTGAATAAAATCTTTAGCAACTCTAGTATTTGTATACTTGGGTCATTGTCCTGCTGGAACTTCCACCTTTTACCAAGCATTTGATTGATTTCAGGACATAAAAGTTTGCATTCATTGGATTATTTTGGAAAAGTTATTATCATACGCGTTTGTAACAAACCGGAAAATATACCTTTTTTTTTGTGTTACACACTGTACATATCAGATGTTTTGTTGCGGCATTACAGTATTTGAATACGCCAAGATCCATCAATCGAGTTTCTGGCGCAGAGTCTGGTTGTAAATAACAACCAATACGTCAATAGTTGTATAAACATAGCCATTTCTTTTGCAAAGTAGCAACTTAAAGATGTAGTGGGTACTTGTCTGCCCATAACACTACTCGATTGTATTAAAACTTGATTGGCAACAGATAATATGAAAGTGGTCAACCTTTATTTTAAATTTGCAATCAGCAATCCAAGGAATACAAAGACGTTGAAGGAAGCTGGTTAAACTCGCCGCTCAGAAGCGTAAGATCCTATGCTACAATTTTTTACAAGCAGATGAATATTTGGTAATTTAAAAGCACACCAGTAATTGATTTTGTAGAAGACAGCGCATTGGTGAACTAGGACTATTAAATTTAAATTTTCTATTCGTTTTGATGATGTAACTTCATTCTTGTCCATAAACGATATGCGGATGATTATGCGCAGTAGAATGTATAAAGAATGTTTCGATAACTTGGCTCTTTAATGTTGCACAACGCTACAAAGCAAATGAAACTTTCACTTGCGCTTAAACAGAAGAAGCCGTGATTATAAGCACTGAGCAATGATGACGTTTTTATCCGTCTATTGTTGTGGCTGAAATAATCACAAGGAAATCTTGTGGCGCCTTGGGCAGCCTTGGCCAATAGGCATCTTGGCGGCCAAGATCTCGGCCCCCAAATTTATATACCCGCTCCACATCGTTTACTATCCAGACTCAAACAAGATGAATGTGCTCAAGCTGCAAAAGAAATATCCTCAATTTAATCAACAAGACATTTTCGATCTTATAGCAGCATTCAAGCAAGTATTCATTCTCTATTTCGGTTTAAAAGTTCTCGACGTTTAGTAATTTTTTGTTCTGTCGCTAATACGCACCATATGATATTTCGATTTTTGATTTTATAATCAAATAGCAAGATTGATTTAGATGGAAACGGTGCAATAGAACAGAAAGAAGCTGTGAAAGCCCTCCAGAATATGGGCGAAAGTCAATCTTATGATGAAATTAGGGCTGCTTTAAAAGAAGTAGATTTGAGTTCAACTGGTAAAGTTGAAGTCGAAGAATTTGTTGAGGTGCGGTGAAACATACTTTTATTTTTCATTCTATGTGTAATTGAAGACTTCTTCATAATACTCACTGTTGTCAACTTTATTTCTCACTCTCAGTGACTGTCAAATATTTACTAATCATGTCTTGTTTAAAACCATATTTATATCAGCTTGTCGCCAAAGTGCGCGAGGGGCGTTTAAAGGGTGCTTTCCAAGTCAGCCGGCACAAGATTACCGTTCAGGGTTCCAGTGCAAATGTCTCCCATACAATCAATGAAGATGAGCGAACCGAATTTACGCGTCACATAAACCAAGCACTCGCATATGACCCAAGCCTGGCAGATAAGCTCCCCGTTCCTACAGACACTATGCAATTATTTGATGAATGCAAAGGTATGTTAGCCTGAACGCTTATTTATACACACAACATTTGAATAATACTATACTCGTGTATTTTTTTTTATTATAGATGGGTTGATTCTTGCAAAACTGATCAATGACTCAGTACCAGACACCATCGATGAGCGTGTATTAAATCTTGCATCAAAAGGAAAGAAACTCAACAAATTCAAGATGACTGAAAACAACAATCTTGTTATTTTTTCCGCAAAGGGTATTGGGTGCAGCGTGGTCAATATCGGTTCAGCAGATCTAATCGAAGGAAGAGAACATTTAATTCTTGGGCTTATATGGCAGATCATAAAGATAGGGCTGTTGAATAAGATCGATATTAAACTGCATCCCGAATTGTATCGTTTATTGGAAGAAGACGAGACACTAGAGCAGTTTTTGAAATTACCGCCTGATCAGATTCTATTGAGATGGTTTAATTATCACTTGAAGGCTGCTAAATGGCATCGCACGTATGTTGATATCCATTGGGTTTAACCTTATTCGGACACTTAACGGGTCTATTTACTGACTGCTAATTGAATTTTGTAGAGTGAAAAACTTTAGCAAAGATGTAGCTGATGGTGAAAACTACACGATATTACTCAACCAACTGGTACCAGATGTGTGTTCAAGAAGTCCTCTAAATACGAAAGATTTGTTGGAAAGAGCCGAACAGGTAACATTCTTTCGTCAGAATACATCCACTTACCCAATAAGATTATCTAATGCACATGTAATTTGTTAATGAAGGTGCTTCAAAATGCCGAGAAAATAAATTGCAGGAAATATCTTACGCCGAAGGCTCTCGTTGCTGGCAATCCCAAGTTGAATCTTGCTTTTGTCGCTCACTTATTCAATACTTATCCTGGACTGGCTCCACTCGATGAAACAGAGAAAGCCGAGATCGAAGAGTTTGATGATAGTGATGATAGAGAGGCAAGAGGTACATGATACAAATAAAACACAAACGGTGAATGTTTTTTGATGCTCCTTTTCTAACTTTTTTTTTCTTCTCAAATTAGTGTTTGCGCTTTGGCTCAACAGTTTGGATGTGACGCCGGCTGTAAACAATTTATACGAAGATGTGCAGGTATTATTATGCGGCTCCGTAGGATTATGAATTGGATTTAACAACGTTGGTTTATAACTAACCCATGGAAATGTGATTAGGATGGTATCGTCTTACTCCAAGCCTTCGATAAGATACGACCAAATACAGTTAACTGGAAGAAGGTCAACGCGAAGCAACCTCTTTCCCGATTCAAACAAGTAGAAAACACAAACTATGCCATCCTTGTTGGCCGAGAATTGCGCTTTACGCTCGTAAATATGCAAGGTGCCGATATTTGTGACGGAAACAAAACACTCATCCTCGGACTGGTCTGGCAAATGATGAGACTAAACATTATTCAGACACTCACAAGCTTATCGAAAGGTGGAAAAGAGATTACTGATCAAGATTTAATCAATTGGGCCAATAATTTTGTGAAAAAGAGTGGAAAGTCAACGAAGATTAACAGTTTCAAGGATCCAACGTTGAGAAATGCATTATTCTTTATTGATTTGTTGGACAGTATTAAACCGGGCATTGTAGACTATTCGTTGGTTACAAGAGGGGTTACCGGTAAGGAGTGGGAGTACGATACCTTTGCTGTCGCTTGTTTTGCATGGAATATAAACGTCTAATGAATAATTTTATTCCGACTATTATAACAGAGGAAGATGCGGCCCTGAATGCCAAATATGCAATTTCCATAGCTCGTAAGATTGGTGCTACAATCTTTTTATTACCCGAAGATATAGTAGAAGTGCGACATCGTCTTGTAAGTTTTTATTCGGATCTGTCAACATGCGGAGTCGATAACGATAAATCGGTATACTGACTATTTATGTCTCTCTTTCATATTAGATCTTGACCTTCATCGGTAGTCTTATGGCTGTTGCGGGGTAGCAAATAATAGCCGATATGTAGTTGACGGAGGAATAGGCATACAACACTACTTTCTTTGAATATTTGACATAGATAATTATTTATCCATAACGGAAATAAAACTATTTAGAAAAGGAAAAAAAAACAATTGACGTTAAGCTAAGCCAAGATCACGCAACAGACTCTTCCCAAAGTTTGGTGAATTACAAATAACAGTAAATTAGGGCGGGTTGCTCGCTCGAATACATTTTTCAGGATGTAAAATCTTTGTTTATTAGAGATCTTAGGTTTCAATACATATGTTGGTTCGCAATTTTTTAATAAAATTGACGTTTATTATTTTATTATATCTTACGTTGAATGCTAAAGAATTTTTTTTATATTGTTATTAACAGATGTGTCGTTTTTCGTAGCTTTCACTCTTTGTACAACTTCTCCCGCATAAATTTACGGGACATCATCGAAATAGATATCACCATGTGCTGGTTCCAAATATTGACGCGTGGTATGGCGTTTGCCCCAGCATAGCAGATCATAAACTTTATTCCCCCGAAATGCAAGGGTTCAAGCTTTCCAAATTTATTCTTCATATCCTCCAAGGCTCCTTGCATTGAGGCTTGCTTCTCTTCACCCCACATGATAAGTACACTGTTGACTCGAAGAATAAAGTCCGGGCGACTTTTAGCTTTCATTGACGTTCCACTTAAAATAATACAATTGCAAGTTAACACAACATCTGTTTGATAAGTCACAAGTCAAAGGTACTTACGAGTCACTTTTGTTTCGATCAATTTCGATTGGAAGTTTGCCACCTAAATTTCTCTTAAGGACATCTAATGGCATCCTAACCAGGGAGTCAATCGGGTAGTGGAGGAGATCTTCTGATCCACCCATTTTGACTGCTTCTCCAGTCGAATCACTAAGTGCATTCGTAATTCGTTCTTCTAGTAAACCATAGCCGGCTTCAAGATATGTCAACTGATTCGGTTGCTGAAAAGAAGATTCGTTTGTCAGTGAGCCAGAGATTTCTAGAAGAACATAACTTAATAATAACCTGTCTTTTGCATTATGTAAGGCGACACAGGCAATTTGCGAAGAAGCGGTGCCTCAATAAGTGGTTGTACATCCCGCGCAAAACACGGTACAATATCGAATGGTTGTACAAGTTCGGCGCAGATGGAATCACTGCAGTCAACTATCGCTAAACACATCATAAAATAATTATTATTTAGTTCAAGTCAGTTTCAGTAAAGATTAGTAGGACCAAATCCTCAATACCTTCCTCATGGCTTCGTTTCCTTGTTGGACCTAAAATGGAAGGAGTATTGCTAGGAATTTTCTAGACCTTTCCCGTATGCAGAATGTGACCAATGATAATTGATGCGCAGAAATTCATGCAGTGTATTCTCTAAAATGTAGATCACATTACACAAATTGTGTAACTACTGATATTTATCAATCTATCATTATCATCTATCTTTTTTTTTGTTATTACATGTACAACTTACTAAATCAAACCGTATTTTCAGAACATAAATCAATATCATTTAAATATGAATCCTTTTGCAGATGAAGTAAGAGTATTGTTGAGAGTGAGGGGTGTTGAAGTTCGTCGTTATAGGTGAGAATTCCACTGAGTATTTGTTGAGGTATTATGTATCTGAAGGTACGCTGCCACTAGGTGTAAATCGAAGAAATTGAAAGCGCATCGAGGCCACAGCTTGCGAAAGTCGCCAGTCAGGTACCCAGCCCTGGCGTACGGTGGACGGCCTGCTGTGAACGTTCAAATCTTCGTTACCGAAAAGTTACCGTGACTACCAGAGCCTGTGGTGAATAGGATACATGATATATTATACCGTGACTACCAGATAATATATCTTGATAACTATGACACACATACTCATTTCTCTATAATTTAATAGACATGAACCCGGTGACGGCGGTATCGATCTAAGTGGGGGTTTTAGAGAGCGTACAATAATAGGACAATGTAAGGTAGATATTGTTCTGATTTCTTTTTTCCTTTCTTATCTTTTATCTTATGAGTATAGAATAATAAAACTTACTTACTTTTAGGGTGGGATGAGGGTTAGAATGGAAGATGTAATTGCATTAGAAGGAGTTTTATCAAGATATGATAGGAGGACAACTATCGCTATCTTGATAGTTAGATCCGAAAACAGAATAGCTTGCGCAAGAAACGGGATAGATATATTTACCGATTGCGCAAGGACTAGAGCAAGATCGTCTGAATATAACATCATCCTAACGGATGAATTAAATGTGTATTCGGATTTGATCAACTTTATCGAGTCGCATCCGCTCGATAGCTCTAACAATGGTGGATGGGGAACAAGGGGAGAGATTGACTTGGTTGTAAGGAGAATAGAAGCGGAGATAAGAGAAGAAATACAAAGGTGGAGAGAAGGAATGGAACGGGAAAATAGGGAATTAAGAAATGAGTTTATGAGAATGCAAATTGAGCGGGTAGAGATTCAGAGGGGGAATGTGGTATTGCAAAGGGAACTTTTAGATATGAATAGGAGGTTGTATATTATTTGTTTTTTAATGTTTTTTATGTTGTTTTATATCATTTTTCTGATCCAAAATGGAACTTGACCCGGTTCTGAACTGGGTCAACCCAATTCGGAACCAGCACATAGTGATATCTATTTCGATGATGTCCTGTAAATTTATGCATTTCACGATGCCTTGATTTTTAAAGCATTTTATTGGGTAAATGACATGTGATTTATTATGATCTGTCAGACCGTTGACTTGCAATCAAACATTTTCATCCTCAAATAGTTTGATTTAGTTTACACTAGCGTTAAAGATTCTTTCTTAACAGTGAATGAATTTGGTGACTATTTTTGTATCTTCTTCTTTTCTAGATATTCTTTCATCAACCGATCATATTCCAAGGCTGACTGTGACGAATTCTCGATGATAGTTGGATCATCCAAATGAACAAATTCATTAGCTTGATGTCCTGTAGTGGCAGCAGCAGGCGCCATTGAATCTCGAGTAATAGATGAATTTGATCGCTCTTTCTGTTTTTTCTTTGACTTTGCCTTCTTCCGTTTCGGACTTTTCGTTGATTTTTCAGTTTTCTGAATCTTACCAGGTAATCCACTTGCGTCGTCAGGCAACTTGTGTGTGCTTAACCTCTTCAAAGTCTGTGGATCATTTATTTCATTTTTCGGAATATGTTGGAACGGGCACTACCAAAACACAAGTATGACATGAGGGCATGTAATAAAGAATGGGCAGAAGTTGAAGTCCAGTTTACCTGTTCCCGTGTGCAAACACCATAATTAGCGTACTGATAACAAAATTGTGGCTTCTGGCGGACAGGAAAAGTGAACGGTATCTGGTCTGAAGGGCCGTTCCATTTCAATGGTACAAAATGTACAGTTTCAGTGTCATAAATCGCTGAAGCTGAATAGGCCGTATGGAGATCATAGATACGCGATTGACTTGTTGAAACTGTTGCATCTGGGAATTCTTTGTTGTTTTTGATTATGCTTTTGTATATACTTGCGTGTAAATCTCCTGCTGCATGAGAAAACAAATAGTTTCCATCGGGAAGACTGAAGATAGCATCGAGTTAACTCATTGAAATATTCTGTCAGTATAACCTTAACAATGACAAAGAATACAACTCGAACCTCTGAAAATTTTTTATCATGGTAAATAGAAATTTGCTATGTGGTCGAGGCCTAGAAAGAATTGTTAACATGAATGGCCACCATACTGTATGTACGTGTAAATTCATCATACTTGCCAATTTCCATTTGGTATAATATTGATCATCTGTTTTCTTTCGACTGCCTGTATTTCAGTATTAAGCACGTCTATTCGCCCAAGCATCAAATCAGCATCCCCGCGAATGTAAGTGTGGATCCAGTATCGAGCCCTATCAGCAGCAGCAATCTCCTCCATGCCTAAATCAAGCTGATACTCAAGATTCGTCTTTATCCCAACAATCCGAGGCTTCAATTGATGTACGGTTAAAAGGTAAAATTAGTGACTAAAATTCCGAATGCAGTTGATATGAAGATAATCAAAAGCGGGTAAGTGGTCACAAAAATTGCATTAGAGTTAGGCATTATTACCTTGTTGATGGAATCGAATGCAAATCCATGCCTTTTACATCTAATTAATACGCTAAACTCACCAAAACACCACAAGTTATAAGTAATGTTGACGTGCCTCTCCAATGTAGTTTGACTATTCTCCTTGCCCGCTCGCTGCAGTAGTTCGGGTGATGACAAAGAAGCAGTCATATTCTTTGACTCGGAGTCTGTCCCAGTGTCGACAATATCGCTCATATTATCATCTTTCAGGATCTCATCATGTTCAGAAAGTTTATTGTCGTTAATTGTCTCACTAAAAGTGCTCTTAGTCGATTGATTAGAAGGCGTTTGTTCTTGTGACTCCTCGTTAAAAATATCAAGTGTGCTTTCATTGTCTAATTGTATAAATATATCATTGGTTACTGTGGTCTTATTCATTCAATCATCACATTTTGAAACTCAATTATACCGTTAAATTCCTGGTCTTCCATCAAAAAGCTAGACTTCGATTCTTTTTTCTTTTCAAATGTATGCCGTGTATCCATAACCACACTCTTGAAAGCAGCATCATAAAATATTTGATTACGTTCGCGGTTCGTCATTTTCTTCTTCACAAATGGCTTGTCAATATACACAGTCCTTTTCATTTCACCAGAGGCTGAATTAAATGAGTCAGTAGATGCTTAAAATTAATCCTTAGTGTGATTGCTCAACTGGTTTTACCATTTTTGCGCGAAACGACACATATGGGAATGTTGCAATCTCTCTCAGTTGATGCATGCAGAGCAACAAGAGCGCACAATCCACTCGAGGAGATCACGATATCAACAGAGTTTTGTTCCACCATAGCTGGAATTAATGGATCTGCACTGACCACAGGCATGATCTGAAGGGACGGAACAGTCAGATCGATTGATAGAGGTGTTGAACATAGCCATTACTCACATATTTCTGCCATCGACTTCCTGCTGTCTTATCATCATGTATTTTAATATTCGTTTGAGTATTGGATTCTGCTTGATTGTCTAAGACGAGATCAGAACTGATAGTCTCCGTCTTATTTGATTGCAAATAATTTTCATGCGTAGGAATCTTTTTTGAAGCTGTTCCCATTGGCAGAGTAAATTGGAAACACGCTCCCTAATTCCCAAGTATTAGGCAAATCAGATATGTTTTCGACAGCAAATCCAAAGAATGGTAATTATCTTACAGCTTCATGAAGCGTCTGTTTATGAACCAAAATTGGATCTCGCGCATCAGGCAATCCAACTGTAAGGTCGAAAGCTTTAAGAAACTCATAATATCGCTGTATAGATATAAAGTTGTATGTTAGACGAATAACAAGTAATTTTAATATTAATCAAACAACTCCTACCGGATAATCCCTGATAATACGTTCCCGTTCAATGGTCAGATAGCCCTAGTAAAGAGATGAGGAGATTATTATTTTGATACACACCTACCGCATCGAATCACTAAAAACTAACCTCAACCGCCTCATCCACATTCTTATCTAAATGTTGGAATCGTTCTTTTGCTCTATCATACAACCACTTCATATATGCATTTTTCTCTTCCTGCACTCGCTCTCGCAAATAATGAAAAATTTTTCGATCGTTGTCACCAAGCAGCTGAGGCTAGATAACAGATATAAGTAGTTAGACCTTGCGTTCCTACGTCTATCTTAAATAACTCATGAAAACCGACATTTGAGGCGGCAATTGTGTTTAATTGAAGAAATTTCAGATGTTCTTCGCGAGACAAGGAAGAAGATGGGGTTGCGAGTTGCTGGCAAATAGAAGAGGGTTTATTCGAAGACTCGGATGTGTGAGAAGGGCCGATTGATTCGGGAGGTGGTTTGGATTGTTTTTGCTTTGTTTCGAGTTCGAGTCGTTTTTCTTCAAGTTGTTTCAGTAGAGCTCCAACGACATTATTATCCTTTGAACTCTTATCTTCAGACCCCTTGTTTCTATTGTACCAATGCGTAAACGCTCGCACAGGGTCATACACACTATGCTTTTCATAATCCTCTTGGGTAAATGGCAAGAGTTCGTCTTCCGAAGACTCTTCCGATGCGCTAAAGTAGAAATTGAATCTCTAGTGGGAAAATACAAGGGCTTAAAGAGACAATTCTCAACTCCACTCTACCTACATGCATAAGTCCGACGGCGAATCAGATGTGCTCGACATAGGATGCGACAAGTTATCTGACATGCAAGAAATGTTTTATTTGATAATCTTGTGTTACTAACTATAATAATAACAGTATTTCTCGTATCCGACATATTATTAAATCGCTAGCGAGTCACTAATTGTATATGTGGACGATTGGCCAAAGGTACTAAATAATTAAGAAAGTATATTGCAGATGTCCGATTTAGAGATCACGATATATGTCAAAAATTCCATTAATTATCTGACTTCGAGATACAAGCTTATCACTATATTTAAACCATTTGCTAGCAGAGTAATATTTTCTAGTTGGGAAGGTAAATAACAATAAGTCAATATTAATGTGTATAAGTATAAATGACGGATGAATAATCAATTGCTATTTTACTGTGAGAGCGAAAATAGTCAAAAAATTTCAACTTCTGATATTTCCGTCGCGACTTTATTATTTGCAGGAGAAACAAAGCAGATCGTAGACGATTGTGAAACAATTTATGATACTTATAATGGCGTCGTGCCATTCCTTATGCTATGAGATCATTTGTACAGTAGCTAAAGTCGGAATATCTTTTAGACAGCATGCATTCTTGGTAAGCTACGGCCGCTTCATGCAAAGTCTACTGTGCAAACTCAACTCCATTATCGTTATTGCCTGCGCCGCTTTGTCTTGCTTTTTTAGTATAGAAAGTTATTGAGTGCAACGTCTCCGAAATATTAATAAAAGTGTCGCTGAAACTGAAACTAACCAATGGAAGATCATGGCTTCAGCTTCAGCCGGATTTCAGCATCACTTATTAATATTAACGAAACAAAGTTTGGTTAGAGTGAATGCAAGACTTCATTTAATAGCGAATATAGTAGCAGGGTAAATCCATTTGTGGCGCTCTGATTGCCAAGCCACCAAGACTTATCTAATTATAGATTACCAGACTTTCACTCCTTCATTACAGTGCTGCGTCCTTCTCCCAAGCCAATCCGCCAAGGCCCTTAGTCAGTCACACTGCAAACTCCGCAGTAAATAATGAAAGCTTAAATATAATCAATGTAGTTTAAAGGGGTTTACTTCAAATGTCTCAACAAACCGAGTCTCAAGTGAATAAAACGGTTCCGGACGAAATGCCGTCAGCGACTCCCATTTTGATTGGACGCCTACTGTCAGAAAGGAAATTCCTTGTATGGATTTGATGATTCGATTTGTAATTGAAATTCGTCTTTATCTGAGTAAAAGTTAAGAATGTAATCGTATTGTAGGTAGACGAGCAGGCACAAGTTAAACATTTAGACGCATCTGCAATTCCCGCCTCCTCTACTGTATACTTGAGAAATTGTGAAAATGGAGAATACTTTCTCGATAGTGTTTGTACCAAAGTCATGATTGGTGAGTTGCTACAATAAAACTTGCCATTTGTTAGACATTCTTTAATCATAATTAGCAATTTCTAGAGAACTGCAAAAATCTCACCATAATCGCTAATGACAAAATCATCACTTCGACTATCGAAGTATGGAAGTCTTCCAATGTGTCTTTTAAGGTGATGCACCATTGCATGTATACTTCTGCTGCTGTTTGACCATTTATGATCATTGTTGCATCAGGTGATTAATTGAGCCGTTAATATTCGCTCGTTTATTTCTGTTGTAGCTTAATACCCAGGTTCAGACTGTTCAAGTTGACGAATGTGGTACTATTGATATTGAGTATGACAAGCCGTCGGCTTTCCATTCTGTTGTCTGGACTGCGACCAGTGAATTGAAATTGAGGATTCTTGAAAACGGTGAAGGTAGGAATTTGACCCAGACTATCTTGACCATTCAACAAAGTCGTTGACGCAGTTAACCTAATTTGTTTTAATTATTAGAAAAGTATAGTTTGATTACTGGGGAGAGCATTCCAATGCAAGGTGAAACTAATGAAAGCATTGAGAAAGTGAATCCGTATCAGTATATAATTCGTCTAATAAATGGCGCCTTGAAAAGTGAAGAGTTAATTAGAGCTGAGAAAGGATTTCCTATCACCCAAAGAGAACTACAACATTGGAGAGTGGTTAATAACATTCAAGTATAAAAGCCAATTCTCACTGCATACTGGGCTTAATCTGCTGACCAATACGACCGAATTTTTGCAGATAAATAAAATATATTAATTTAAAATCAAGTCGATATTTGGTTTCTATACCTCGGTTCGGACGTAGAGTACCAAGTTGCGATATTAACTTGTAACTATACCGTCTATGTTTATGGTTGGAACCACTTGATTATTAGTCAAAATTGTTCGAGCGATCATGTGCCACCGTTTGTGGGCAACAATTTTAGATTCTTCTATTTCTTTGTCAAGGGTACGCGCCGTAAAATTTTATAGATCAACCCACGTTAACTTTCTGACATGTATAGACCTCAGACCTTAAAAACGATGATCTAACAAACAGGGTTGCGTACCCGAGATATAAGACATGACCATGCTTCTTGTATTAGAGATGGTGATTTATGCTTGTGATTTCGGGGAACTCTGACATAATGTATTAGTACGTATTTACAGGGTAGAACAAACTGGAATTTATGATAAAAAATGTTTTATCGAAAATCAAGGCCTTGTCTTTCTACTGTAAAGTACGAAAGGCAAAAATGTCTTTATTGTTATAATTGTATTCAGCTGTTTATCAAAGATGCAGTTAAAATATGCTACTTGCGTGGTACACTGACTAACGATTAAGTAAATAATAATAATTACTATAAAGAACAAACAATGTACAGTAGCTTTCCATCCTTTCCTTATTAATTCCAGGTCGGAAAAAAAGCATGGCCCCGTAAAAGCTTATTTTCCTTGACAAAAACCAATCAAAAGCTTGACTGGGGAACAGTCTTTTTTCTTCGGTTTAGAACTTACCTATTACTATACCACACTTGAAAACTTTCACGTGACGCCTATTCCCATCAAGCCACGGTAGTTGGTTACTACATATGGTCACTATTGTGGCGGTTAATTTGTTTCGATATTATCTCCTTTAAGAAAACATCTTATATTCCTTAATCAAAATATGGAGATTAATCAAATTCCTCCCGTTGAATACGTGGAACAGGTAAGTTATTCACGAGAATGCATTTAGGATATGCATTTATCTCATTTACTACGTAAATTTATCATGATGTAGGCAATACAACAACTTTATGGTAACGGAAACCATAGGGAAGCCCAAGAGTATTTACATAGCCTTCAAAAAAAATCGTATGCATGGGACTTAGCTCCCCAATTACTACGCTCAGAGGCATGTAATTAGCTTAGCTATAGCTAGATGGACAACTGCCAATGATTACTGCTAATACTCATCACTCCAATATCTACCAGGCTGTAAACTCTCAATTCTTCGGTGCTCACACATTTCAGGTCAAGATCTCTAGAGACTGGTATGCGGCTATGATCGATCCTTTGTCTTGTTCTCTTCTATGCAACAACTTCGACTAAACCTCTGTTTATTGGCCAAATATTTAGGAAATCTTTGCCAGATGATCGCAAAATCTGGCTCCGCGACGAATTAATTCGCTGGCTGATTCACTTCTCCAATGGCCCATCGGTAGTCACTACAAAACTATCAACCGCGGTAACACATATTCTTTTTATCAGGCCGCGCAATTTATGTCTAACGGTCTTTGTGAAAATTTCCCTTTAATAAAAATTTGTTTCTTCTAGCTTGCAGCATATACAATCAATGCCATACCAAATGTATGGACGAATTGTATAGCGGAGCTCTTTCAGTATCTTCAATCAGGGGCAATGGCACTCGGGAGACAAGATCTAGCTGTAGAGCTACCGTTGTTAGAATATTTGACTGTGTTGCCGGAGGAAGTTTCGACTACTGATTTTGTTGACAAGCAGAGGTAATTATAAGTTGGATAACTAGAATGCTGTCTAATGTATATGGAAATATATTTACATGACATGTTGATTCAGGATAAGCGTTCATAAGGAATTAAAAGATGCAGTGCCATTGGTAATGTCGACGTTGCAATCATTTCTGGCTCAAAATGATCGATCAGAGCGAAGCATTCTGTTAAAGCAAAAGAGCCTTAGGTGCTTGGAAAGCTGGATAGCGTATAATGTGCCATTTGAGTAAGTACCCGAAAATCTAGCCTGCATAGTTGATATTTTGTTGACAAAACGTCGTATTTAATCTTTAGGTCTCTCCTGCCATTGATCGATCACGTTATCGAATTATTTCCATGTGAAGAGACACATGAATCAGCAACAGAAGTATTAATTCAGTTCTTAGATCAGCCGTCAGTAACCTCAATTCAAGATACTGTCTGTGATTTAATAATGAGATGTTTTGCTAGTGAATGGACAAAATCAAGAATAGCAGAAGCCTTTAATGGTAGAAAAAATATAATATTCTTCGTTTTATACTTAACAGTTGCGACAACGATAATAGTAACTAGTGGTTTATTAACTGATACCTTTATCTACTGTAGAATCCGATGAACACGCGGTAAAGAATCTATGCCGTCTTATGACGGTGTTTGGCGATACTTTCACCAACTACATTGCCAAACACTTTATTCGTCCAGACATTATGATATATTTGGAAATGATGCTTACATTCACAGGCTTTCCCGGTTATTATGCTCAAGATCAGGAGATATCCTTTGTTTTCATCTTCTGTATTAAATTTAATTAATGGAATTTGTAAAAAATCCTCAACACCAGAATTGTTAACACATTGGCGAAATGACGCTCCAATTCTGGGTCCCTCTCCAAGAGGCTATTTATGATCCATACGTGATACCTATTCGAACCAACCCATCAGAGGACAACAAATATACTGTTCACGTCTTTGGTAACGCTGCGCCTCAAGCAGGGACATTATCAACTGAAGAAGCCCAGAATATTAGAGATGCGGCAATTATATTGTTTAAAAGATTAATTGAAATATTGAGAGTAAAGCTGCAACTGCCACCCGAAGATGAATGGAATGAATGGCATGAGGGTAAGTTGGAGTGTAGACAGACTTAGTTTATAGACAATTTTTTGTTGATAATAATAGCATAACTCTCATTTGTTAGAGACAAAACAAAAGTTTAGATCCTATCGCCGAGATATTGGAGATATTATCTTGAGTGCATATGTCATTCTGCATGAAGAGCTTCTTGCTTACTTTATAGATCTTATCGCAAACCAATTAAACACTCCCAATAGCGATTTCAATCGTTACGAGGTATTATTATATTCCACATATTCTGTCAATTTATATTTTGTGATTTATAGAAAATTACTTTTGCATTAATTATACTGTAGGACGCAGAATCAACACTATATTGTATTAAAGCTATTTCAGAGTCAATGAGTAACTCGGAAAATACTTATCTACCAAGGCTCTTTGGTGCTGAAATATATGGACGGTTACCATCGCACGGACAGACAAGATTGAGGAATACGGCTTTAGTATTAATCGGTAAAATATAAATATGTGATTACAGCGTCTGTCGAAATTTACGAATTGTACTGTTCGCAACATATTCATAGGATTATCTAATCGTATTGGATATCATTATAGGTTCCTACGCTGAGTGGTTGAACGAAAACCCGGATTTCCTGTTTCCATCTATCAATTACATAATGGCTAGTCTAAATGAACCTGGGCTCTCCTCCAGTGCCGCCACGGCATTCAAAGATGTCTGTGAGCTATGTCGTAATCACTTAGTAAATGTAGTAGAAACCATGGTAAATGCGTATTTATCGCTTGGATCCCATGTTCAGGTAAATAGTTTCATGACGTCATTACGTGTGCATTTTAGTCTGTCAGTATAAGAGACTCAAATGGCTGCTGGATCATAGCCACCACAAAGACAAAAGATTATTGAATCAATAGCGGACGTCTTACAGAATTTGCCACTAGAGAAGATGGTACAACCTATCCTGGTAAGTTGACGAGTTGAAAAATATTTGTCACGCTAATCTCGCGTATGCTGAAGGGAGAGTAAAACTTATAGGTATTAACAGGGCATATCATAGAGAAGAGCAAAGAAATCATCTCACATGTACAGGTATGTAATTTTACCACTTTAGAGAAAACTATTCATTTGCTGCTTGTTACTTCGATTCAGGAATTCATCCGCCCATTTACATTAATACAGGATCCACCTGTGTTCCGAGACTCCATAATGATTCAACTTGGTTATCTCACGTCATGTGCACGGGGTATACAAGCTAGAGACGAGGAACCAATTCTTGTGGATGTTGACAAGGGTAATTTACGAATACAGGCCGTGTTCGCATCAGCGACTGTTACATCCTTCACATCTACGATAACTGACATTATTGGAAGTATTGCTAACGTTTGGTATCAAGATCAGGATGTTATGGAGGTAACTACTATTAATATTTGGCAATTAGACTACAGTTATAAATGCGAGATACAGGAAAATATATACGTTATGATAAAAATGACACGATTCTACCAACACAACTGATATTTATCGCACCATTATGTTTATAAACCCTCCCCCCCTTTCCAAAGTCAGTTTGTAAATTTCTAAATGCTGGAATACGGGATCCACTCCACCTTCTTTCACTTCCATTTGAGTTCATCATTCGTCTAATCCAAAACTTTTATTCTCGAAAACAACACCCATGTTTGATGGACACTGCTGCACAACTATTGACGGTCTACGGGTCTAGGAGTGAATACAAAGATGTGTTCCAAGAGATGCTTGCAACGTTCACTGTCAGCACTCTGAGTATCGTTACTAACCAGAATGGTAAGAATTATCCAATAATCGATGCCGATGAGTTGCGCTGGGAAAGTCTTATGGTGAATAATTATGTGGATTTCGGTCCTCCATTCTGTAGACATAGAGGATTGTCCAGATGTGGTTAATTCGTATTTCGAGCTGCTTTCAAAGGTATATATTGTTTCTAGTTTTGTTAATTGTTAGTGTTTCGAAAATATCTCGTTAGATACAATCTAACGTTTTTGCATTCAGTTCATAATGAAGTGTCCGATATCATTTTACTCTATTCCGTCGGACATGTTCAAGAGCATAATCATGTTCTCTATAGCTGGTCTTCGTACCTATGAGCGACTTGCGCTGAAAGCGGCTATTAACTTTATGGTAAATCTTTTTCACGAAGACCGTCTACTCATACTCTACCTTCTCACTAATTATAGTTTAAATACAGAAAGAATTCCTAGGCCAAAGTTACCATGATGATCAATTGAATGCAGCAAGTGAGAAAGTAATCATGACTTATGGGTTGGAGATAATGACGGAATTATTAGCAGTAAGTTTCGAAACGGATGTTGCAACAATCAATATAAATATCGATTAAAAAATCATTTCCCTACTACTACAGGGAATAGGTGGGAAAACGCCAAGGTCTTACGTACCATTAGTGGCTGACGTGCTCTATAAGATGACTAGTCGACATGTTGAGGCTAGTAGTAATTGGTTGAGAGTTTTACTTTCTCAGGTAATGGACGAATTGTTGGCGAGTCTTTACGAATTCTCGGTAGCGCATTATTCACTAATCTCTCGCCATTCCAAACAGGACAACTTCCCTTCGCGTAATGTCAAGCAGGACGCAAAAGATTTGTTTGCAAAAAGTATTCTTGGGTAAGCCTGCTTATTATGTTCATCCAAATTGAGAATATCTAAAAGTCTGATTTCCCATTTGTTTTTTTTAGGACGCGTAATATACGCAGATACAAGGATTTGGTTAATGATTTCTCGCTGAAATGTCGAGGTTTGGAGAATACAGCATATGGGCGCATATGAGGATATCCTTACTACTTAAATATAATTAATTGGTACGTCTGCCAACAGCATAGTTAATATTAATGAAGATGTGAATGAAACTTCTAATAGAACATTATCATGTAACACAAATGAGAGCTGGTGTGGTAGAAAGTAACTAATTTGACTAGTGACATTTAAATCCGGAAGTCATAACTCGACAATAAATGGTATGACTTTAAAACCTTTCAACTCCACCAAAAACTTATATTTTTAAAAACTGACGGTAATTTTCTTCATGATAAGGTCTATAAAGTTACCGGTCAGATTTTTAAACTTGGGTTACTTTTATGAACTTTTTTGGTGAAATTTATTATTGTTGTTTTCGATTTGCAATGCAGATAATTTAATGGTAACTACAATGCAATTATAAAGAAAAGTGTGTGGTGACCAGCTAGTGAAATCAACGATACCCGTAGATACTGCTATAGAAATCTTATAAAATTGTCAACGTGATAATTCGGTCCAGATTTTCTTCAACAACGATCAATATTAGAAGAAGCAATTATCAAATGAGGAGGGAGAATGGGCTGTTACTAAGTTAAATTATATCATAATGATAAAGTATTGAAAGAATTATAGAATATGAAAATACCCATAGTTAATTGAAATCTCGAGTTATGACTTCTGGCATCATATTAACAAAAAACGTCTTGAGAACAAGACCTTTCAAATAATATAAAAATCGCGATTGTTATTTGAGAGAGAAGTGCAAAAACAAGAACAAGACGGATGTCAATTTTGTAATTTCGACGACAATTTTATTTTTAAATTTTTGTCATAATAAAAATTCATAAATGCAAATTTGACGTTAATAACAAACTTTGTTGAGAACAAGAGCTTTCAAATGATGTAAAAATCGTAACTATTTATTTGAAAAACGTTCAAAATAGTTTTGGGGACAAACTTTGTGTACATCAGGAAGAGTTTGTAACATATATCAATCCTCTTTCGGTGTTTTGCCGTGTTGGACTGAATCAACACGTTCCATTGATCCGCGTTTACTCCGCCAATTCTTATAACTCGTTCGTAATATTCAACCTACTTATTGTACACGTCCCAGTCTTGCAATCTCGTTAAGTTTGTTAAACGCGTAGATGATCACGTTTTGATATATATACACACTCTAATTCAGTTTTCCAAATTACAGAGTTTGAAGCCAAAGCCGAAATTTAATTTTCGACCAATATGTTACTATTTCGGCTAATGTAACATAATACAGATAATTCAAGCGAACTGCTTTCTCTAACCATATTACCATATCGATATTGTACTGATAGCATTAAGATTTGCTGAGGGATGTCTTTATTTGAGGAACTTGCACATTACATATTGGTTCCACAACTTTGATTACTTTTGTCTTAGCTATTGGCGCGTACCCTTGACGGTGGTCTCATTATTGATTATATCGATATAATATAGTCTAAATGTTTAATAAATAGTTCATCTGCCAGAATACATGTTGCCGGATCCTCTATTCCAGTCGTCTCTTGTAGTTCGTATGACTAACTGAAGCAGCAAATGCCAATATCCACTTCGTATCATGTAAAGTATACTTAAGTGCACGTGTCCATTGCTCATCGTGACCAATATGCCGCTTTATGGATACATCACCTATCTTGTCTTTATTTATTCTAACAAAGGCAAAACTCGAATGAGATACTTTTTCCTGTAATAAAAGATGCGACACTAGAATCTTTATCCTGAGCCAAATACTTACCGGTAAGGCAGCTTAATGTTACGATCTTGTTTCTCAGCGTATTCACCCAATTGCTGCAAACAGTTGAGAAATGCAACCATAGCCGTATCAAAGCGACCGTTCTGAAATACTCTACTTATAGCATAGTCCCCTGAACCGTAACTGATTCAATAATAAAGATTAATACCGATACAGATGAAAATTCAATCTGCTACAGAATTATTTACACTTACAGTTCATAGACGGCCCTATCGCCTTCTATTTTCTCTATCTTGGAGAAAGAGCCTAGTGGTATAAGACGATACCTGCAAAAAACAAACGAGTTGACATGCACCATCTAATAAATGTTTCCATGTACAAAGGTGTTCAAATGGAAAAATGACATACGTCTTAAAAGTAAAATTGAGCTTATTCGCAATCGTAGAGAGTAATAGCACCGTCTGACCCCATGCTGCATTGATCTCGTTCCATTCCACCTAATCGAAAGCGATAAAAAAAAATTCGACAGGTTTACAAATATTATAAAATTCCAAAGCAGCGAATTCATCACTCCCAGCCTTCTCTCCTATCATACTCGTAGTAATCTCTAAACTTACCCTTTGGGTCGGCAGATATCCCAACCGAAAACCATTTATCGTTCCAAAATGTCCTTCATTCACAATGTAAAAGGTATCATTATAAACGTTGGTCTTCTGAAGCTTCTCAAGCTGTCTCGTATCATGATCATATTTGAGGTTCACGCTGTCACGTTCATTCTGAAACGCGCTCAGCTGAATGTGAAAGTCATTAAACTCCTGCCAGTACCTAAAAAAATTACAGGCAACAAATTTGTTCGAGAAAATAATGCAATATGAGCTAGAGCTCGATTACAGCGAGTAATCAACTCGCGTCAATTCGATCATATACCTCTCCTCCATTTTATCGAGTTCACGTGCCTCTGCTTCTAGGGCTTCTAACTCCTTTTTCAACGAATCCCGCTCGTGCTCGATATTTGTTATCGTTTCAATAGCGGCCGCCTCCCTTACTTTTATCTAATACAAAACGCATTGTTTTTTTTTCAGCAAAGTACAATTCGCCTAAAACGTGGTTGCACGAATAGACTAGAAACTTAATATTGTGCAAATTATCAATGAATAAAACAAACCTCTTTGATTTCTTTCTTCAAGTTTTCTCCTTCCTCATCGCTTATCAAACTTGAATTAATCTTCTTTAAAAAATCAACATAACATTCTTTCTCCTTTGACGCGTCAGATAACTGCTTGCTCAGAGAATCTAGTAACATATCCGTACACTCTACACAGATAGGATGTGTGATTTCTGATCTTTGCGACATTATATCGAGTAGTCGAGATGTTACTTTCAATCTATATGATAACGAAGTACGTTGATCCGTTGAGGTTGCATCAGACGAAGATAGGGGAAGAGAAGGTTGAGAAAGGGGAGCTATCTGTGAGCGAGAAAGTACAACGTATGATTCGGATGGGCCGAGATAGGATTCTTTGTTTGGAAACTGCTGTATCGGGCGCGAAGGATGTAACTTCGATGTTTTATGAGACATCGACGACGGATGCTCGGAAAAATGAGGAAGACGTGAGTCGCGGTAATGAGAATTGTCTTCGGGTAGTGTGGCTTAAGAGATCGAGGTACAATAGGAAAATGTAAGCAAAGAGGTGTCCGAATTGGGCGTCATTCTAAAGATTGTTAAGCTTCTTCTTACTTACACAATAAGAGATCTACGTTCGCCTTGCTTAGGTCGTTTAAAGAGTCGTCTATCCTTAGCGGTTGTTTACATCTTTGGCAGTTAAATATAGAATGTGAGTCTCTTGCCTGCATTTCTAACTTTTTCGTTAAACTTTCTGAATATGTGGGAGTTTATATATCTCTTTTTATTCTGGGCACAAACTATTGGCCAATCAAACCAAGTCGCAGTATAAGCTTCCACAAACTTCATGATTTCTGCTAAGGAAGTACATTGTCAAGCTATATATTATATGCTTACGGAGTCAAGGCACAAAAGCGGTGCGGAAATACATATACCCTTATAATAATTTAAAAGGGAACAGCATAGCTCACACAAAGGAACAGTCGACCAAAGAGAATCACTGGCGAGGCTTCTAAAGCATTATGGCAGTAGATAAGACTCTCTCAATTAGGTAGGACTTTGGCGATCATGTTAACGAAAAAAGAAGTGACGTGGCTGCGCTCTGCCATAGTGGAATGATTTTCTAGAAACACTATTAAATTGGGTTAAAAGCTGTAAATTTCTAGACTTTATAATTAGTCGCATTAAACCCCATATACATATAGTAGAAGCGCTATTAAATTCTCGAGGGATTAAAAACTATAATTTTTCTAAACTTATGATTAATTACATTACGCGTCATAATAGACTTTGCAATCTTGGCAAGTCCCCTCTTCTACGAATTTCCCTGGGTCTTGGTGTTCTATGTACTGCAAAAGTAACTTACATTGCTATAATGAAATTTTTCTCGTATGTATTGTCTTCATAACTATTATCAGAATTAGAAGTGCGAAAAGTATAAAATAGTAAATCCCCCATTGGCATGTACTAGCGATTAAAAACTGTAATTTTATACTAAAACTCTTCAAGATATACTTAGACAGCTCCCGTGAATAAATCAATATATGGAACATAGAATGAGGAATACCCTAATCCGATTTATTGCTCAATAAAGAACTCGAAAACTCTACTCTTATTATAATGCACGTAATTATTCTAAATTAACAGTGAAGCGTCTATACGGCAAATCAATATTGATAAAAGTGATAAAGACAATACATACGAGAAACCCTTCATTATAGCAACGTAAGTTATTTTGCGGTATATAGAACACCAAGACCCAGAGAAGAGGGGATTGCAAAGCCTATTATGACGTGTTCAATAGAATGTATAATAAAGTTGATTACTATCATTTATTTACCAAATTCTCAAAAGAATTAATATTTCCCTTGTCAGTGTTAGAAGATACACTAACCTGTCAAGTAGGCACCAGCGATCGCATCGTTGAAAAAGTCTTGCATTCTCTCGAAACCAACATTTTCCAAGAAATCGAATGATCGAATATTATGATGATACTTGGGAGGCTATCAATAATGCTCTTCGAAGTCCGCAAGCAGTTTGGCTTATTGGACTAGGGAGATGATCAAACAACATTGCAATTGTTTTAGAAGATTGACGCACATTTAGAACGTGGAGAAAACACGCTGAAATTCTACAGGTATGTAAACAATTGGTGAAGGATGCTGTAGATTGATAATATCGTGAAAACGTTATTAACGAGGAAAAGAAGTTATGTCTTTTGGAATCTCTCAAGGTAGTTGATTTGGCAGAGCAGGTATTTGGAGTAAACCATGCTGGAGCCGACTTGTTGATGAGATCAGTGGGTGGCATCCGATAACCGGAAAAATAAACAATAGTATAAAACAAGCCTGTATCGAGCATCGGACACGGCGGTTGCAGGTGCAAAAAGTCTGCTCGTGCTCCCTACTGCTCCTGTCATACGTCTGTTAGTATTAGTAAAATCGACAACCTTACAATCAAGTTCAGTTAACACGGTGCAAGACTTGTTGCGATAGAATACTCCTAACGGGCGAAGAAACATTAAAGGATTGTTCTTTTGACAAATATACACGTCTCTGCCTAAATTTTACCTGAAATTGATCTATTTTTAGCAGCTAATTCTAATATTCTATCGATTGTTCTTTAGTATACGTTTAGAATGTACTGAAGCGTTTCATCACTATTTCCGCACTGTTTTAGCGTGCTCGTATTACCAATGTTCGGAATGTTGCAATAGTGCTTGTACCCTGCAATAGTGATTGTAGTGATTGTAGTGATCGTACCTCGCAACGCTATCCCTCCTTCCGATAAATAAAGGAGAGAATACGCGAGCATCACAGCCTGCTATTTTTTTTTACCCACATTATCCATGCGGTCCTCAGACGGTGGATAATGCCTGGAAGTGTGAAGAAGAGATGTCATCAGACAGTGACCTTTTCAACACATCCTGTTTATTGGTTTAACCCTCAGGTGATCAGTTGGCAGAAGTGCAAGTAGAAAGACCTCACTTACCCTCAGGTGGTGAACTTTCTATTTGTAATGGTAAGCCACCAAGTTTTGTGTGGTCCTCAGACAGCAGACTGGTGGCAAATATAGAAGGGAGAGTTATATGAGTCATGTGACTGTATTATTATAATTCTGTTATTTTATTATTAATATCGGTATCTAACTAGCACTAAAGTAAACATCATACTTTGTTGACGCAAGAACAATTACAATTGTGAGTGATGATATCAGCAGTCATATGCCATAGAAACATTTATTTTTAAATTAATTATTATTATAATAATATAAATATTACAATTACTCTTGAATGTAACGCAACTACAAAGGGGGAATTTTTCATATTGTGCAATAGTAACGGGGATTCAAAATCGGGTGACTGTGACTATAATTATAATATGATTGTGACTGTAAAGGAGGTAAATCACTATGAAAATGACTGGGACTGGAACAGCCTGTATAGGAGGTGTGACTATATAGGAGGTGACTGTAGGGGAGGTTGACTGTACTTGGGTCTTTGCTAGGATTTTTTATTTCTTAAAATAGATTTATTATGATTTTGTAAAATATTGTGTAACAATGGCTGATATAGCCAATCAGTATTACTCACAGGCAAGGTATATTTTTATTGGCCAGACCATATCATTTGTCGCTCGCGATCGTTTATAAATTTTCGCGTTACTCTTTTCTCTTGCCTAACACTGCTGCACTGGCAGAAAGATAGTACTTTGATAACAAGTTTTCCCCTGATTGAAGTCGAAGGAAATGCTTTTAGTATTTCTGTAGATCTAGATCTGCCGAGAAGCCGAGAAACGCTCTTGTGTTTCGGTAGGTGGAACCCGAGAAACTGAGAAACACTTATTGTGTTTTGGTAGGTGGTGAGAATCCGAGAAACATTTATGTTTCGGTAGGTGCACGGGGCCGGTGCCAAGAAGCCGAAAAAACATGTGCAATGCATGTTTCGTAGGCGGTGAGAATCCGAAAAAATATATTTCATAGGTTGACGATGCCTAAGAAGTATGTTTTGTAGGTGTATGGCTAAGGGGACTTGTTATCAAACGAACTCTTTTTTGACCATTGTTGTAGGCAAAGTTTGTATATTTACTCTTCGTCTGTAAGGGTCAGTATGTGTGAAAATTTATAGTTAGGTGATTGAAGCCTACTAGGTGCTTTATTAATTTCTATTACGCTTTTTAATTACAAATCGAAGATGCAAATCATAAACAAGCAATCAATTATCTCCGCAATTACACTGGTCATCGCAAAAATTCTGAATTGGATTCCTGGACTGAGGATATTTGACGTAAAATAAGATAAGTTTTGCCATTGGTTTAATTTTATCGCATTATCCAAGAAAAAAAAATATGTCTCCTAAATAAGTTAGATGCGTCGCTCAAATTCAGACGAAACTTTATAATAACGGAGTACAAAAAAATCTGACGCTACAGTTATTACTAGGGTTTTCCAACCTTAACAACTCGTCGAATAGTATGGATTTTCGATCTCTCCCACATTAGTGATATACCATGAACGGTGCCAACTAGAACCAGAGAATTTTTTCGAAAGCAATGCAAGCATCTATTGGAAAGAGGAAGGTATATGTTGCATTTTGAATTTGTGGTGCGTTCCATTATAAATATTTCTTTGATTGCTTTACATTTCTTGTTTCTAACTACCTTTACTCTCAACCCCGAAGGAGCGATTCTGAAATATCATCCATTCTACCATCTACCAAAGAACTCTATTGATTCCATGTCCTTAGAGAAGAATTCTGGCGATAATTCTGAAAACATTTCTGATAACACATCTGACCCCAAAGTGACTGCCTCCAGCAATTCTGATATATGTCAAGAATTGAAAATCTCCGCATCTCATATCTCTGCAAAACCTAAATCATTGGAAGAAAAAGAGATCAACAGTTTCTTATATGAGAAAAATAAAGAAAGTATTAGTAATACGATAAGAGAAAGGAACCGGGAAAAGAAGCTTAGATCTCAAGACTTATCTTGCGAGAACAATAGTTTGTCGATAGAGACATCTAAAACGGTTGCTATAATAGATAAATCGTCTATAACAACTCGAGAACCCCTATCACCTATTATCCAGACACAAAATACCACTCCCTCCAAAATAGCGGAAGCTAGTACGTCGATGCTAAAAATACCATATAACCAGAAAATCGAACAGGGTATAATTCAAGAAGTAATCCTGTTTATTCAAAAAGAAAAGTCGCTTACCTTATCAGATGAAAAAACATCCCCATTTTGTGAGACTAATATTTCTGAAACTCGCGATAACAATGTGGATAAAGACGGACGAGAGTTGGCCCAATGGTGGACACATATATTTCTACAGATTCGAAAAAATCATTCCAGAAGAATCAACTGAGGTAAGTATATCTACTGAATCTCCTGTTTCCGATTTACCAAAAATCAGATGAGTGAATCAGCACCCCCACCATATGAGAACAAACCCGACCTCCAATTTCTATTTTACCTGAAGATCCAAAAGAGAAACGAAAATGTGTAATTAAAATGGTATTGGAAAAGATTCCCGATTACTTTACTTGTTTAACAACATGTCGTAATAAAGTTCATAAAAAGAAAATTTAGAAGGTGGGTGGGGTAATAGTAATGGTGATTATGTCAATACAAGCACTTATCGCCTCAGATGCTGGGGAAATAAATATCAGAATTCAATCCAAATAGTAAAGGTAGTGTCAGTGCTAGAAATGAGACTTTTTGCGCAAGTTGATTTCAATTTAGAGTAAAGTCTTATACGCAGTAAAAAGTACATGATTGGACCCGCACTGTAACACGGGATTGGGCATATATTTAAATCGATATTGCGATTATGATATTAGGCCTTCACATCATATATTACTGTTCGATTGTCAGATGGCTACTCAGACAGATTCTAATCCCACGTCTTCAACATCTACGGATCAAGCCAATTCAAAAAACGATGTGCCTTCGGCGACATCAACGTCCACTCGTCGAAGAGCAAAGAACCTGCTAAGAGATTATTATGGATTAGGGCCAGATGGAAAGAAGGCCGATCCGTTGGATATCGGTAAATAATCAAATTACAGTAAATGTTTTGGCAAGATCGATTAGATTGTTTAAGGTCTTTTTATTTTTGTTGTTGTTCAGATAATTCAGCATTTGAAGGGGATAGCTATTTCTCAAAGTTACTTGTTGAGAATAACCTGAGTGCGTTGATGCAAAGAGATAATGATTTGTCTACTGGTAAGAGTTTATTATTTATTTTGCTTTGCATTCCAACGAACATCTTATAAAATGAATGTTCTAACGTTCAGAAACGAGGCAATTGGATGGTGATATGAAAACTTTGGTGTATGAGAATTACAGCAAATTTATCAGCGCCACAGATACAATTCGAAAGGTAATATGGCATCACAATGCATAGTGATTGTGGCAAAACAACAACAACAAAAAAAAAGACTAAAAGTCGTCTTTATTAACATAAAGATGAAAAGCGATGTCGAGAAAATGGAATCAGAGATGCATGACTTGACTAAAAGCATGGCAAATATTTCCGAAGTCTGTTCGTCGGTGAATTCGGCACTTGGACCCAAGCGCGAGAAGATCAGACAACTTACGAATATTCAAAACTCATTAAAGAGACATCAGCAGTCTTCTTGAGCCTAGTTACGTAACAAAATTCAAGAGTACGTTTATTCCCTCCTTGAATCGAATTTTCTGGATGTTCAGGATCAATTAGAAAGGAAGTATTATATCTGATGCGTAGACAAAACTATGAGACGCCGATAAATTGCGTTGGAGTGGGCGAATCGCGCACCGTGAAGGAACTGGCAGAATCTTGTAATTTAATTAGAACGCAATAGCCTCAAGGTTAATGTGTCAAACATGTACGTCGATAAACAATAGATACCTTCTGTTGTTATCTGGTTGATGAAAGCGACCTTTTAGACATAGACAACAATGAGCGATTAGACATTATTCAGTGTAACTAGAAATAAACAACAACTCATACTTTTTTACTAAATGGAAGGTCTGGTTGCAGTGAGAATGCTTTTGTATCCGATACAATAGACATTCACTATTCATTTCTTAAAACCACGTGTTTGTTAAATCAACCATGTGCACGCATATGCTTGACTTTATAAATAAGTCAGTGCTATACGAACTATTTAATTATAGTGTTGGCTTGCTTAACATTACATAAAAGGCAAAAGTTAGAATGTTCTTAACCCGTTTCATGTGCTGGAATGCTAATAATGTGATAAACATGTGATCTGATTAAAAAACCTTGTGATTATTATTCCTGTTTACATTACAGCTAAATTGTATTGAAGATGAATTGAGGCATTGATACGTTAATAATATTGTATCGCTGTCAAAAATGTTATTACTTTTTGACAGGTAACCAGCCGGCGACTCGTTCATTATGGCGACCAAATAACTATTTAGACTATTAATGCTAAGTATATTGTTAAGTTTTCATTGTAAAATAAATTGATGGATTTAGAAATTTCTTGTTAAATTATTAGCATAGTAAAGTAACTTTTTTTGAAATATGGTTTTAAAAAGTTTACTAGAATACATGTGGAGATATGAATTATTAAAATAGATTACTCTATTTAATGTTATTGTAATACTAAAAAGTTATACGCGATCGCCTGGAAGAGCGTTACGTTCAATTATTGACCGGTCTCAACTTAGCTCAACAGGTCCTTGCTAAGGTGCCCGTTTCAAATATATATTCCCTATTGCTGATTTCCAATAATAAAGTTTCATACTCGTATTGTCTTCGTTTACTCTTTTCCCAAATCGACAAGACAATTTGTCAATTACGTTATATTGTCTTGGGCAGCACGTAATCAATGTAACATAGTTGAGTGCGCGTAAAACTTAATTTCTTTCCAGGACGATACTTACAAATATTTACAGGGCAACATGTTTATCAACTTTTTCTGTCTTGTCCATGATAGCACTCTCGAACGCGTCTTTAAGTGATAAGAATGGACGCGTAATACGGACAACCTCACATTATGGAAAGTGAATATTTATTAAGACTGACACCAAAGTTGATATCTCATCTATACTAGAGGGTAATAAACATAAACTGTCACCTTTAAAGACAATTTTTACAGCCTGCACTTTAGTTTGTCGTATTATATGATGGCAGAAATATACCACTACCAATAATGTTGGTGATCAGACTTGGATTACAAATCGTGTCTAGCGAAATGTTCTGAAAATTAATCTGAGCTCTAAAATCAACCATATACATAATAATAGCCAGAGTATAGATAGTTACAGCTAACATTTCTATTGCTTAATTTTATTGAGATACATATTAATGCTACAATATATATCACATTTCCTTTTATATTTGAATTATTACTTTAAATTAATTTATTTTTGGTAGAGCAGTTGAGTTATGAAAAAAGATTGTACAACCCTTTGATGAACAATTCATATCAATATGCTCGCGACATGGTTTTCACTGAAAAGACGAAAAGAGAAAAAAAGGAAGGAAAAGCTAATTCATGATACTGGATGGAATAGAAAACCCGTGCACTAATGTGTTTTTGTCCTGGCTCACTTCCTTTTCTTTCAATACTTTAGGTAAAAAAGTGTGATTTGCATTTCCATAGCACTATTAATATTTTGTTTAGAATATTAAATCACATAATATAAATTCCGATTTTGCAAGTAAAATTACGTTAAACATTATAGTTTTACTCAGTTCCTCAAATTGTTGTCTGTATGCTCAGCTCAATATTCAAACAATACGAATTTAGGCGTTACAACTATCTTCAGTGAAACGCAGATAATTTAATACTCAGATCACAATCTGTTACTTGGAGAATCGGCAAGTACTCTAAATGATTCTGATCGAGTTGAGCATTGTGTTGATTACCAGCACAAAATAATAGCTGTTGGTTTGTTGGTGTTGTAAAATCAATTATAAAAATAAACTATGTCAAAGATCTTTTTCTTTTTTTTCTAAATATAGTTCTGGCATTGGTGCAAGTTTGCCCAAAACATATATATGCAAGCCTGACATTAGATCTAGCTCGTTGTCAAAAATTTTACCTTTGAATGTAAACTCCTCTTCTAGCCATCCTTTTGACATGCAAATGTTGATATATAAACATAATAGCCACATGAGAAAACAAATCATTAATATGAAACTTGTAAAAAAAAAAAGACTTAAGCAGAAAGGTTGAAATGTGTTCGTATCTTGAAGCTCTGATGGTAATGCAAGTAAAAAAAGTCAGCGTGAATGATTCCAATGAAAGAAACAATGCACAATGTTTATAGGATGCCATTATTTAAAGCTATTACTATACTAACAAAAAGTTGTCAGTGGGAGAGCGATTCGGCAAATGACCCTTTGAGAATCCAACGAGACTGGCGTATCTAAATCCGCTAGCGACTTTTTTAACTAGGCTTTAATTTAATACTCACGATCTGTCTCGTATGCGAAAAATTCTCGATTATCAATTAAACTGTAATGATTGTCTCTACTTCTATCGACAGGATTAGCTTCGATAGCCTGAGTCCGTCTACAGGGATGGAGCAGTAATAGGATCGAACTCAAATTTAATATAATAATAATTTGGTTAAATTGGATTTAACAAGGAAATAGTTTATCGCTTTTACTGAACGCAATAAAGATTGTGACCAAGTCTACCCCCCCTTCATTATATTTATGAGATGTTTAAAAACAATGCAAATGATCTACGAATCAACTGTCCGCGTTATCTACATACTTCATATGATTTTCGAGTTTACGGTATATCTATTACTAATTATTCAAGTAGTTGAGTGAATTTATGAGTAAAATATATAAATTTTACACATAATGGAATCACGCGTGCAATAGTTAAGAAGTCCATTATAATTATAACAAATAATACATATTATTATGAAACTCGGGATATAATGGAATTCACGGGTTGTCTCTATTATGACGAGCTTCGCTGTACGCTACTGATGTGGAATCTGCGGTTTGCACGTCACAATCAATAGCAATGGCCAGGAAATAATATAGTCGAATTGATTATTATTCCAGAACAAAATACTGGTATATTATGATGAAAATAATATTGATAATGATAATAAAGTACAAGCGTTTGAAGATAATGTTAGCTAGCGGAAATTACATGCGTTTATACATTGCTACCGTTTCGCTAACTAATGATCTAATTATAGGATATGCTAATCACAATTAAGTGTGAATCAATTAACTGCTGAGTCGAAGTTGCATTCATTTGTTTAATATAATTTATTTGCGATACTTACACGGCTGGCACCTGTACTAACACATCACATCACATCACATCACACAACACATCACACAACACATCACACAACACATCACATCACAACACAACACAACACACCATGCAATGGAACCTTGCTAGCATTTATACAACAGGTAAGCGAGCAATTATTGGAATTGTCACAAACATAATTTGCGATTAACACTTTTATGACAGGGCACAAAGTCGGATCTTCTGTATTTTCATCGCCAAGTTAATGACGTTGATGTGGATAAAATGCTGTTTTGGTTGAATTATGTATGTCAACAAGTAAAAAGTTTGTAGCATAAAAATTTCATGAGCTTATGCTAAACTATTTGCTGCTGTGCATATCATTAGCGACTGACTCGAGGAAAGATTTTCCATTTCACATTTAGTGATCGGCAAGATAGTTAGCTTCGGTTTAAACTTTTTTGGTAGTGCGCTAATTTTAGCTCATGGCACCAAATTTGTTTTCCGCTCTTGCCTGCGCCACTATTACTGCGCTTGGATATTCGGCCTTCCTTAATTGATTATTAGTATTAGGGGTAGATAAACACAATGATTGACACTCATAACGTTTATCCCCCGGTTGTTAAAATTAAATTATTACTATTATTCATTTATATCAACATGACGGACCATCGACAACTTCAATATTGAACCGTTGCTATAACCTGAACAAAGTCTTAAATAAATACCCGCGTCTGTCTGGATACATTAAAGACTGAGAGGCATTTAGAATAATAAACCATGTAACCATAATAATTGACTGTTTATACAATTAAAATGGTTAATACAGATTACTGCGGACTGCGTTAGTGGTGTCGATCACTAGACATCACGGGACTGATTCAAAACTTTTAAACACGCCCTGTCCACTTCTAAACTGACCCAACCCAAGACTCTATTTTATTACCCCCCCTTTAATTGAAACTCTTTATGGAGGTCACCAAAGAATCAGCGAACAGCCCAAGCCTGGCCAGCAACGGAGGAGGTTAGTTAGTTCAACTCGAACTAGGGCGGCGTCACAATCAATAGACTGTCATTTGTCAGATAACTAACTTGTATATAACATGTACTTGACAGATAAGGCGGTAGACAAACTGGCTTCAGACGTAGCAACGCTTGATGTGGCTGTTCGTGAGTAGATCACTTTAATTGTGTTTGGTCATTCCGTCTAAGAAGGAAGAATAACTGTACTCAAATTGCATCCTTTACCGATTAGCGAAACACTCGGAATTACACGAGTCTAATTATGAAGTCGAAGTTGAACGAGCCGATCCCAACTCTCCCTTGTATTCGGTCTCGTCTTTCGAAGATTTAAAACTGTGAGTTTTTTTGTTTTGTTTTTTTGGAAATAATTTATGACTGGAATGTCTGAATAAACGGAAAACCCGTTACCTTTTTTTTCCACGATGGCAGACATCCAGATTTATTGAAGGGAATATATGAGATGGGATTTCGGAAACCTTCAAAGATTCAGGAGAAAGCACTACCTCTCCTCCTTGGAAATCCGTGCGTAATAACTTTCATGAGTGATGTTGACACGTTGGCTTTCGTACTGTTCGCAAGGTGACACCTATCTCTTCTTTCTTAACTCGGTTTAGACCCCGTAATCTAATTGGACAATCGCAGTCGGGAACAGGCAAAACTGCAGCTTTTGCCCTTAGTATGTTAAGCCGTATAGATTATAGCTCCGACGTACCCCAGGTAATTATTATTGGGTGTTTTTTCGAGTCTTGTTAACGGGATTTTGAACCAACAATTTTTCAATTCTTTATGAGACAGGCGATTTGCGTGGCTCCTGCGAGAGAATTGGCTCGGCAGATCATGGCGGTGATCAAAAGCATGGGCAAGTACACAACAGTTACGGTTGCCGAAGCAATAAAACAGTCTGTCATGAGAAATCAGAAAGTAAATGCACAGTTAATTGTGGGGACACCTGGAACGATGACCGATCTGATCAAACGGAGGCTAATTGATGTTAGGAATGTTAAGATATTTGTCTTGGATGAAGCCGATAATATGCTGGACCAACAAGGACTTGGTGATCAGAGCATACGATTAAAAAAGTAAGAGTTTTTTCTTTATACTTTCAACAACAATGATGCAACTATTGACAGAGGTCATTTCTTTCTTCACCCTTGAACGTTCCATTTTAGTATGATGCCCAAAAACACGCAAATTGTTCTCTTCTCAGCCACATATTCTGATGAGGTGCGGGACTTTGCAACACGCTTTGCACCTGATGCCAATCAATTCAAACTAAAGGTTGAGGAGTTATCAGTCAGTACTATTAAACAATTTTATATGGACTGTAAGAATTCAGATCACAAGTTTGAGGTGCTAGATGCTCTATATGCACTGCTGACTATTGGACAAAGCATAATTTTCGTTCAGGTAATGCATATATCAGCAGTAACATTGTCAGCAATCTGTTTAAATTCTATCAGACAGTATGCTTATTGTTACATCCTTTTTCCCTGCGCTTTTAGCGACGTGATACGGCTGATACAATTGCGAGACGGATGACCGAAAGCGGTCACCGGGTTATTAATCTTCATGGAGGACTGACACCGACGGAACGTGACCAAGTAATGGATGCATTTCGCAATGGTGATGCGAAAGTGCTTATAACTACAAATGTGCTAGCTCGGGGTATTGACATCATGCAAGTCAACCTTGTAATTAATTACGATATTCCAACGAACGTGACAGGAAGAACTCCTGACTATGAGACATATCTTCATCGTATTGGGCGCACTGGTAGATTTGGACGCACTGGGGTATCGATTAACTTTGTCCATGACGAACAAAGTTGGAAACTCGTTGAGATGATTCAAAATCATTTTAAACGCGAAATAGTCCAAGTACCAACAGACGATTATAATAAGATTGAAAAGATTTTAAAGAAGGAAATCAAAGGATGAAATAATAATAATTATTTTTAATGTTGCAATATTGCTGTTAGAAGGGATTACATGGCGGTTTATTTTCAACATTGCAATATAGAAATTTATTCGAAAACAAACACTTACCTTTCAAATTAAAATAATTATCTATTATCGTACTCTATTCAATCAAAATTTGATATTGACATAGTGTTATTCTTCGCTTCGTTCTATTTAAAGCGTTGAATGTTGAGATCACGTAAGACGGGATAACTCTATGTATGGTCTGTCAACATAAACACGCACGTATTTAAAGAGAACCCCGTGTAGAAAATTCCTACGAGCAAGTATAACTACACGTCTTCAAGTCAATATTCACGTCCCGATGATCATGGGTTCTTGTCTGACCCTCTGTGTAGCTACGCTAGCTTCACGTACTTGTCCACTGAGCCTTTTATTGTAATTACAATATCGTTTTGGAGAATATGGCGTGGTAATGGGGATAAAGTCGACTATAGACTGAAGTTCCTAGAATATACCAAATTTCCAAAGAAGAAAAAAACCTCCCTCAACTACAAAAAGCTCAAATATGTGTGTCAATATTTAACTGTAGAAATTATATCGAGTTTCGATAAAGGACGAAAACTCTTCTTGATCAATGGAACTCGATCATGACTAAGCTATAAGAGAGATAGACTATGTTTATCAACCATGGTTGAAAAAAGGATACATTAATCAATCTCGGGGCATACCGATAAAAAAAGACCGGTTCGTCCATGTTATAAGACAAGCTTACCATTTTTCGCGTAATGATGAGTTAACTTCACAGTGGAATTTTCGTAACTATTCATTTTATTCTTAATTTGAAAGGAAAACTATTTATTTCAATAATAATACTATTGTATCGCGAGGAATGATTCGTTATAATAAATTGAATGATTTATTTTCATCCACTTAAGTAAAATATCAATTTTGCACGCGAACCAAAATTGTGTGATTTCAAACTCGTTACCATTAGCAATGACAAAATTTCAGCGAGTTGCCGAAAAATCCCAATGCAAAAGGTTACGCTTGTAGGTGGTTCCTCATTTGTTGAGTTTATGGTATTATTGATGCTAATTAAGCTTTCAGGACATCTATGCATTTCGCCTGTTGTGAATATATAATTTACGTTAGTATATCTGTCAGCATATTATTTCATGCAAAAAAAGTATACCAATACTCATTGAACTACACTGGGACGTATCCATCCTTTTATTTTTAGATTTGGGTCAACTAGCTACTTTGGGCGCGTGTGGCTTCCTTAACAAACATTGCAGATAATCAGCACATAATAATGCTATGTTCACATAATAGACGCCATCCACGTTACCAGATTTTAGAATGTTCGCGCAAAATAATGAACTTGAAATCTCTAACACTCTGAAAGTAAGGCGAGAGAGCCCCTCACATAGATCGATATCACCGACGTTCGGTACGATAGCTGTCTATTATATATTATGAAGATTTACCCAATACCTGCAAAAGGTATAAATAGATCAATAATTGAATATAAACACAAAAGGCATTCATTTCACACGGAATTTTTCTCCACCTACCAACGCCAAGAGCGACATCCTTACAAACATTCCATATTTCATCTGTCTGAAATATGCTGCTCTGTGATCATAATCTACTTCAGGATCAATCTCGTTAACACGAGGTAATGGATGCATTATTATCATATGAGGCTTAGCTTTCGCCAATGTCTTATTATTTATAACATAGGAATCCCTAACTGCGTCGTATTCAGTCTCGTCAACAAACCGCTCTCGTTGAACACGTGTCACATATAGAACGTCGGTTTGCTCAATTACGTCGTCCAAGTCGGTAAATTCATGTTGTGGAGTGCCTTGTTTATGTACACCTACCTTAATGTCTTCTGGCATACGTAATGATGGAGGACTTACGTAATTGAGAGTGACATGGTAGAGTGAAAGGATTTTAACTAGACTATGTACAGTTCGTCCGTTCTTGAGATCTCCAACGAGAGTTACAGTTAACCCATTGACTGTACCTAATTCTTCTCTAATAGTGTACACATCTAGAAAAGCCTGTAATAAGAGGTGACGATAACGTCAACGTTGTATTACTAAAATATTGCAAAAAGCAAATCAATAATTAATCACCTGAGTTGGATGTTCGCCGACACCATCCCCGGCGTTGATTATAGGAACAGTCGAAAACTCTGCAGCAACTTTAGTACTCCCTGGTTCCGGATGTCTCAACACTATCAAATCACCATACGAACCCAGAGTTCTTACTGTATCTGCCAATGATTCTCCTTTTGCAACCGACGAACTCTCCACTTTAACAGATACCACACGACCACCTAATCGATTCATTGCTGCCTCAAATGAAGCAGATGTGCGCGTAGATGGTTCAAAAAACATAGTAAAAAGAACTCGTCCTTGCAGTAGATTGATAGACCCATATCGCTCTACTAGCGTACGCATCTCGTGGGCCACTCCAAATAAGAGATGCAGATCATTCCGGGAGAATTCCTTGACGGAAAGAATATGCTTGCGGTAAAATGGGGAGTTCTTGAGGAAGGGATCGAGATTTGCAGGCATAACTGGTGGTGGCTCAAGGATCCAATCAGGAGCAACAGTCTTAGGCATAATAGGCATAATAGGCATAATATCACCAGATCCATATGATGGAGATATAACCTTGGCTGATGTAATTGTTGCTTTGGGCGGGGGCTGGGTATTAACCCCTATAGTTTGTGGTTTTTGTTCAGCCTCCACAGGTTCCTCAGCAGCGGGCATTTTTGTAAATATATAAGTTTTAGTTGAGATGTCGCAACCAGCATTCCCATCAGAGTAAAATCCGTTATCAAGATAAGCTGTTTCTCCTCGTAATACGACACGAGTCACTGCCCCAAATAGAGACTGGCCAGCAAATGGTGACCATCTTCCTGGCTTATCGAATATTTTGATTTTTCTATCAATTTCTATTTCAACGTATGTGTTGGGTTGTTCTGGAATGCTGAATATTTTACGGGGGTTGGTGTAAAGTCTTTTTTTGATATCTTCAATGTTTAATTTGCCCTCATTTACGGCATTACAAAGCAACGGAATAGTCTCCTCAATACCAACGCTCGCGCACGTCTCCCGACCGAGTTTCACGGAAAGGCGATATGGAAGCGTACCAACACTAAAGCAGTCGATTACATCCAGATGTTTCCATAATGAAGATTGATCGGCTGGTGTCGGAAGAATATCAGCACAACCGTCTATGTCCTCTGTGTTCAGAAACAAAGCGTAAACGGCCACATCGCAAGTAACTTTCAAACCCTTTTCTTTGCTGAGTCTGATTATTTCAATGTCATCTTTAGTGCTGACACCAGTCACATGAATTGACCTACTATGTAAACTAGCTACTAACAGTACGGATGCCAAGTCATTACCTTGAGCATCCGTAATGACGGGCGATAGAACTGGCCAGCTGCTGAAATGCTTGGCTAAGGTTGCTATCTTCGGTGTCTGTGCATTTACAAAGTTACTAAACGGTATGAAAAGTGATGCAACATCTGGAATTACTTCGGTTATTTGTTCGACATTGTACTCAGTTGCAGCAACTGATAGAGCATAATCACAGTGTCCATTGCCACGGCTACTTGTATGTGCAATTGCCATTGTACCAGTATCCCGTAATGATTCGTTTAATCCAATTGGTAGTGTATTGATTACTGTAAATCCTGCCGCTAAGGATGCTTTAGTGACCTCAGCAAAGTCATTCTTACCGGACTCGGCAATATGAGGCATAAAAGCTGAAATATTGAAAAGACTTGGGAGTGTAACCGTCTTATGACTACATTTGCAATCAATATTTCGAACTTCAAGGTCGGGGTTCCTATACAATGCCTCAATGAATAGCTTGGCACATTTAACATTTGTTATTAAGGGAACACTATAATCAACAGCCATTCTGCGTGTACGATAACCATTGCTCATGAAACTGGCGACCCGTCTATATCTATTCTTGGAAGGTAAATTTATATACAAGTCGATTAAATTATTCGCTAAATGTTGGTCCAATGAATACTCCGGCTTATGTTCAGCCCCTTTGCTAATATCCAAGTACTTGACTGCAATACCGTGTTCCTGAATAAAGTCAGCTGTTCCTGATGTAGCAAACAACTGAAATCCCATATTATGCAATTTGGTTACTGATGGCAACATTTCTAGTTTCTCCTTATAAGATCCAATAGATAACAGTATATTCTTCTTTGGTAGAGTAAACGCAGTAGATATCAATGCTTTCAAATAGGCTTCATACTTGTCCCGTCCGAAACAAGCAACTTCGCCGGTCGATGCCATTTCTACCCCAAGGACAGGATCGGCACCTGATAGTCGACTAAAACTAAACTGAGGCACTTTGACAGCAACATAGTCCTTTGGTAAATTAAGCTGTGGATATGGATCAATAGGTATACCCAACATAGCCAAGGTAGCCATTTCAATTAAATCTATTCCCGTGACTTTCGAAGCAAAAGGAAAGGATCTTGACGCACGCAAATTGCATTCTATTACTTTAATATCATTGTTCTTTGCTATGAACTGGATGTTGAATGGTCCCGTTACATTTAATTCATTAGCTATTTTTTCTGTTGCCGATTTAATCTTACTCACTGTCTCGGGGTCAAGGTCTTGAGGCGGTAATACTAGGGTAGCATCCCCAGAATGTACACCTGCATTCTCAATGTGTTCTGATATGACATGCATCAATAAATTTCCATCCGATGCTACTGCATCCATTTCAATTTCCTTCGCTTCCTCGATATACTTAGATATGACAACTGGATGTTCCCTTGATACGGCTGCTGCCCGTCGTAAATAATTCTCTAAATCATCAGATGAATATACTGCATTCATTGCAGCACCAGACAAGACATATGATGGTCTAACTAAAACTGGATATCCAACTTTCCCGCAAAATGCTACTGCATCATCATAGTTTGTCAACTCCTTCCATACTGGCTGATCAACTCCAATCCGATCAAGCATACGAGAGAACTTGTATCGGTTCTCCGCAGTGTCAATCATATCAGGAGATGTACCTAAAATATTCACGTTCTGATGGCGTAGGAGAAGTGCGATATTATTTGGTGCTTGACCTCCCATGGAAATAATAACGCCAGACGAATTCTCTGCCTCATATATATCCAATACTCTTTCCAAGGTAATATTATCAAAGTATAATCGATCGGCTTCATCATAATCCGTACTGACAGTCTCCGGATTGTAATTAATCATTATTGTTTTAATGCCCTTTCGACGCAGAGTGCGAATCGCTCGCACAGCGCACCAGTCGAATTCAACAGAACTACCAATACGGTAAACGCCTGATCCAAGAACCATTACTCCCTTATCACCAAACTCTACATCGTGTTCGACAGCATTATATGTCACGTATAAATAATTGGTCTGCGCGGGAAATTCAGCGGCGACTATGGCAATAGCGTAAATCGAGTTTGAGATAAGATTCCTACGGTCATAAGCAAGTTGTAGGCGACTTTAAATATACACGTTACCTGTGTCTATTTGTTTCACAAATGGTATAATATTGAAGTCTTGCCGAATTTTCCTTATAGCCAATTCAGTACTTCCAACTGCCTTTGCGATTTGACGATCAGAGAATCCTAGTCGCTTTGCATTTAAAAGCATCACACGCGTAATATTCATAGGTTTATACTTTCTCAATTCGCATTCAAGGTCAATAATATTTTTCAATTTAGAAAGGAACCATTTGTCAATATTGGTCAATTTCCAGATTTGTTCAACTGAATAGTCCTTATGGAATGCATTAGCTATGGCAAAGAGTCGTTGGTCGGACGGGTTCACAAGTTCTTCATCTATTGTAGAAACATGATCATTCTAACAGAATGGTTTCGTTCACATTAGGAAGTAAATAACAGACTATAGATAATACAATAGCATTAAGTTACAAACATACCTCACCAAATCCCATAAAATGATAATCAATTGATCTAATAGCCTTCTGAATAGTTTCTTCAAACGTCCGTCCGATGCTCATCACTTCCCCAACAGATTTCATAGCAGAACTCAAACTCGTATTCACTCTTGAGAACTTCTTCAGATCCCACCTTGGTATCTTAACTACGACATAATCTAAACTAGGCTCAAAGCAAGCACATGTCACTTTAGTCACCGAGTTACTGATTTCATTTAATGGTATTCCCAATCCCAATTTTGCAGCAACAAATGCTAGTGGATAGCCAGTAGCCTTTGAGGCGAGAGCAGAGGACCGAGATAGACGCGCATTGACTTCAATGATGCAGTATTCATTAGAGAATGGGTTTAGAGCGTATTGGATGTTACATTCACCGATTACACCCAAGCGGCGAATCACGCTAATTGCGCTTGTACGTAGCATCTGGTAATCTTCATCCGAAAGTGTTTGTGACGGAGCAACAACGATTGAATCTCCCGTATGGATACCAAGCGGATCAAAATTCTGAATTTTGGAAATGCTTAGGCAATCTTATCGTTAATCGAACAAAAATAAGGAAAGACAAATACGAAAAATAATATAAACGAATTTGGTAACAGATAATGATACATTACCTCCATATTACAGACAGTTATACAATTATCTCTGCAATCGCGAACGACTTCGTATTCAATCTCCTTCCATCCCTTCATTGACCGCTCTATAAGCACCTGGGGACTTGTTGTAAAAGCTTTCGTACAAAGCTCTGTAAGCTGTGCCTCATTCTCGGCAAAGCCGGATCCAAGGCCACCCAGGGCATACGCAGCACGGCAGATGATGGGATAACCTATAATTTTGGCGGCTTGTAGGGCTTCCTGAACGTTGGTCGCCGGAGCTGATTTAGCACATTTCTCACCAATTTCTAACAGTAGCTGTGCAAAAGCCTCACGATCTTCTGTTGTGATAATAGTGTCGATTGGTGTACCAAGTACTTTAACACCTAAACTCTCAAATTCATTTCGGAGTTTGACACCGACATTTAGAGCTGTCTGACCACCAAACGTCACATAAATGCCGTCGGGCTTTTCATGTTTGATGACTTTACGGACGAATTCGGGATCTACTGGCAGGAAATAGACCTTATCCGCGAGGGAATCAGATGTTTGAATCGTGGCTATATTTGGATTGATTAGAATCGTATAGATTCCTTCTTCTTTCAGTGCTTTAATTGCCTAAAGGTATTTTTGACGTAAGCAATAAGTGCGGATAGAAAGTATCGCATTTGCGAGGTTACCTGGCTTCCAGAATAGTCGAATTCTCCGGCCTGCCCGATACTTAATCCGCCACTTCCCAATATTAAAACTTTCTTAACATCAACGCGAGGATTCTTTCTATCATTCTCAGACCTTGTACCTCCAGGCATTCTCACGTAGACTAACTTCCCGGCTTTATTTGAATCTATTACCGAATTAATAAAAACGTCAAAAAGATATTCCGTATCTCTTGGACCTGGATTCGATTCAGGGTGGAATTGTACAGAAAATATCGGTAAAGTCTTGTGTATAAAGCCCTCGTTGGAATGGTCATTCGCGTTGACAAAGAGCTCTTGATATTCTTCAGGGAGAGTACCAGCATCCACGGCATATCCATGATTTTGAGAACTGATATAACATCTGCCTGAAAGCATGTCGGTACAAGGAATATTATGTCCACGATTACCATATTTCATTTTCATGGTTTTCGCGCCTGCCGCAAGTCCGAGCAACTGATGTCCTAAACAGATTCTGCGTTTACACAACGATATGCAGTTATTCTCGTGTGTCGTATAAGCATTTCAATGTTGCATATAAACAACTAACCCGAAAATTGGAGTTTTCGCCTCTTTTAAAGCAACACGTAATCGCTCGATTGTTACTTGAACCATACTCGGATCTCCCGGTCCATTGCTGAATGTAGAACAGAATGTTAATTAAGTGCGCATTTGGAACAAAAGTTATTTCCTCTTAACTATAACCACACTAAATGCTAAACCATATGTCACGGACGGGCCGATAAACCCTGCCCGTATAATTCCTATACCTAATGAAAAGTCCATCATAATCTTTTTCTTTCAAAAAGTCGTAATTCCACGGCACAACTTTAACATTCACGTTACGATCAATAAAACAGCGAAGCTGACTGTATTTCTGGAGGGTCAATTAATATCAGTAATAATTGAAATTGAATCTCGCAATGACATGATGAGACAAATTATTACCATTCCCACGTCAATCGCAAGAATCTGCAGAGTTTTTCCACTAACTCCCTTAATAGCTTTTGTTGGATCAGGATTGTATACTTTTGGTTCTCTGATCGAGACTAACAATCAAACGAAATGATGGAATTGAAACACAATGCCACGTCATAGCAATCCTCAGATTCACTTAACAAAGAGCATTATTGCAGACGTACCTTCAGCCACCAAATTTTTTTCGTTTGGATCAACCCAATCGATATCTTGATATTCGTTTAGCCAAGGCTCCGATCTTAACCTACTAGTGGCATCCATACCAACTCTCATCAAATTTGAAGTGTTTCCCACCACACTCTTTGGAAATAAGATTTTACCCAATAAAACACCTTGAGTCCTTATTTTCTTGGTAAGGGCACGCGTATCCACACCGTAAATTGCAGGAATTTTGTTCTCTTTTAGCCATTCGGCCAAAGAGGATTTCGCAAGATGATGTGAATAATCACGGGAATAGTGTCCGACGACTAGCCCGGCGACATGAATTCGCGAAGACTCGAAGTATTTGGGAATGTCGGCTAGGAAATCATTCCTTTCATCGCGTGATGGAACACCGTAATTACCGATCAAGGGAAAAGTAAGTATGAGAATTTGCCCGTGATATGATGGGTCAGTGAGTGACTCGGGATATCCAACCATTCCTACACATCATTGTGTTAGTTTGCACATTCACCAACTCGAATAGTTCGAAAGACGCTGGCCTGAATAAATTCTAATTGTACCAGTTTGGAAGACACATTCGCCAGAGACAGACTTGGTCACAGCACCAAAGGATATGCCACGAAAGCTTGTACCGTCTTTGAGAATTAAAATTGCTTCAGGTGAAGAAACATGCAAGGGCATTTCAGAAACAGGAGAAGCAGGTCGTGCTGGTGTCGGTGGACGCGATAAAGAGGGTTGTTGAACTGGTAACGCGCCATTCGATATGTCAGTCATGTCCATGTTTTTTGATGGTGAATTCTGTTCTGCTGTGACCGGGTGCAATACAATGAATTGCAAAATTCTGTTCTTTTTTTTTTTTCGCTCTTGATCTATAACGGAAATAAAAAGTTTTCCTTGTGAAACATGTCTAATTTAGGAATTATTAATGTTTGTCAATTCAATTTACTCCCCTACTGTATTTTTTGCTGATCAGTTTTATATTATACTGTATGTCTTTCATATGCACGAAAAGTTGCAAACTATGGCGACACTTTCTAAGCATGGAATCAAAGTGTATTAGTATCCCCGAAATTCTTAATTATTTAAGAGCTTATGTTTTAAATTGTAAGCTTTCAGACATAGAAATAAATCGCGTTTCATATAGCCTTAGTTTAGTCCAATTAAGCAGTTTGCGTGCTTGCACGTCGATATGTTTAATTAGTTCCACATTATTAGTAGAGTCTCTGCAACACCTAATAAACAAAAGAATTAACAAACCCTCATAGATATGTATAACAAGCAGAAAGATAAACTATTCTATTCACCTCGCCTTAGCGTTTCGGGTGTCGAATCCGTCCTAGCGAACTAGAAAATATACCGATTATGAAGCACTAACGATAACTTCGATAACAGTATAATGCGATTTTACTGTTATACGTACGTATACCTTGTGATGTAACGCAATAAACATTGAGAATCTCTCTCCGTGATTGTACCTGAAAACCTCCCATTCAAACGATGTCATTAGTTCCAGGGATTAATAATCCGGCAATTGACAATTTGATTCAATCCTCCTTATCAAATGAAGATGATGGAAGATTTGAATGGATTCATTATGAGGAAATCACCAACATAAAGCCAACTCAAATTGACAACGTCTGCTACGCTACTCGCAAATACACACTAGAAGTCGTTGAAGGCATGATGTTATGCCTTGGAAATAGCGGAGAATGTACACAAACACTTGTTAGTGAGTTTGCTAGAATATACTCACTTCCGATACACAAGTACAGCAAAGATGACAACAACTTTAGAAGACATTCCCGATGGCTTACGGAGCGCAACAAACTAATAAAGGGTTTTACCGAGTATAATAATAACTATTACATGGTTGCTGATAGAGAGTTTTACCATTGTTACTCTCAATATGGATTCTGCTCTGCATGTGGAATACTCCGATGTAGTCCTGTGTGGTGCATTT